GGGGGGGGGGGGGGGAATAGAAGTAAAATAGAAGAAAACTTGTGTTAAAAATACAATATGATTACACATATTTTTACTATTGTTTGTGCAAATATACTAAATTACACGAAATATATTTATTTCCACACTTGTAAGCATATACATGATAAGTTTTGCAAAATTTTCAAAGCTATGAAGTTTCGTACAANTACACTACGGTTTTCTTACGATATATATATATATATATATATATATATATATATATATATACACACACACACGAAATATACAATTGGATTCCAATAAATAAACTATATTTAAAATAGTTTATAAACTATAACCCTTTTGTAACATGTTGAGCAAAAAGGTATAATTATACAAAAATAAATATATAATTATTTCCATTCATTTTTATTATCATAGTACAAAATGATAATGTATATACTAAGAATTCATCATTTAAGTGAAACAGTTTTATAAACTATAATAGGTATAGTTTATGAAGCATACATACTATTTTACCATTTCAAGATACAATATATATACTGATTATTTAAAGGCATAAATATTATATACCATGTAAACACTACAAAAGGATGATACATACATTTACAAGAAAAGGAGTTTTCATCATACTACACGTAAATAATCAATATGGCTTTGTGAGACACGTCTCCAAGTACTTATCTAAGTACCAACAAAAGTCCTGAATTATAACCAGAATCTCCCGTAAGAGAGCGAGACAATTATGTATAGATCTATACGGGACTGACAATCCTGTACCTAAACTGTTAGCTACAGTTGGATCGGCAGGTCTGGGTGATAAATGACGTTACATTCCGACACCTGAAGAACGTCGTATCAGGCCAACACGGTCATTAAGTATGGTTAAAATAACTCACAAGGGGTATTAACAATACGTTTGGTTTACGAATACATACATATCTTCAAATGGTTTTATTTAGATAAAACTACATTACATTATTTTCCAGTACAATACAATTTACATTTATGGAAACATACACTCAAAGGGTTTTACACAGATACAACTACAGTATATTATTTTCCAGTATAATACAGTTTACAATTATGGAAACACGCATTCAAATGGTTTTATAAAGATATAAAACTACATTATACTACTACAAAGTACAACAATACTTATATATATTTTGGTCTTGGAACATTTAAGACTACATCACATCTAAAAGAAAATATTGGATTTTCTGGAAGAACATATTATCATTTTCAAGGAACAAAGACATATATTTCTCATACAAAATACTTATGAACTTACCAATTTAAATGTTGACACTTTTTCAAAACCACTTGTATTCTCAGGAAATCAGTAGACAGGTACCCACACAGGTTTTGGTGAAGACGAAGCTTAGTATTGTTACGTCTTATATTTTTGTTGTATGCTTTTGGAGTCAAACAATGATTCGAATACAATGTAAAAACTAATCAATTATCAATATAATGTTTGGAATGCTTTGATCTCTATTATTCAATTGTTCTGATACTGTACATGACGTCATCCGCCCCCATATGTTTCCACCGTTTTACCGATTTGGGGGTGTGACAGATTGGTATCAGAGCATTGTTTATAGTGAACTAAGTATATCAAACCATATAAGATATACAACTATAAATCAATGGGGCTAAAACGATCTGACTAAAAGTATACTTTTAAAATATAACGTATTTTTATAAAAGTATACGTACATGCATACATACTACAAACAGTGTCGTAATAAGAACCATATAAAAGTATTTAGATAAGTTGGACGTTGCGGTTAAGCCTAGATAGTTATGTAATCATATATGGGATAAATATAGCATGCTCAACTATATTTATGCGAGATATGACTAACATGTGTTTAGGAATGATCGTGGCCCCTGTTCTATTCAGCTTAATTCATTAAGCCCTTAATCCTTTATCCCACTTATTCATACTTTCCAGAAGGCTTTCTTACACCCGATGGATCATAAAAATCATTGATTTATAGACATGGATGTCCTATGCAAGTGTTGAGCTCAAGTTAGGTTAAAATGGTGAAAATGAGGTCAAAATCTCTTGCATGGAAACAAAACCCTATAACTTTTCAAATCTATAACATATAACCACCAAGGGCCTCAAGGTTCCATAAAGTTTCCAACTTTATGGAACATATGATGGGTTTTATAGGTTACAAAATATATGTATTTGCGGAAAATCTCTTAACAATTAAGGGCACATGCAACCTAAAGGATCTATGTCATAACACTTTGAAGGCAACATACTATGAACAACAAAACTAACATGAACCCTAATGAAACCCTAGTATAATCAAACTACAAGAATTAGGGTTACATACCTTTGATTTTTTGTAGTAAACAAATCACTTCAATCCATTGTAGTTGTTGGTCTTGGAAAGCCTAGCACCAAAAGTATGATGCCTCTAATGGCTCACACCCAAAACCCTAGAAACCCTAGATGAAGAGGAGTGAGAGGATAGAGGTAGAATTTTTGTTCATATGCTTCTAGGAAAGAGTATTCACCAAAATAACGAGCCAAGGGATCCTACTTATAATTTAAGTAACTTGCAGACAAATCTAGACTTGAATCGATTAAATAAGGAAATTAATCCCAGTTCAAGTCTTTTCCTTATCTACAGCCAAGAAACTTCCATCAACCCTAGGAAACCCTCCAAAACTGCCCATACCATGGGGGGGGGGGGTGTTCTAGAATTGCTTCTTTTTGTTCAACCATTGAACAATTACAATTCACCAATTGCATATTTAATTAATTTCAATTAATCCCGAACTAATTCTATATTAATTCTGACTAATAATTAAATAATTCTCATTGATTTCATATTAATTTATTATCATATAAATTAACAAATTAATTATATTGATCTCATATTCATCTATTAATCACATAATAAATTAACAAACCAATTATCTATTTCCAATTAATATATTAATCATATAATATATTAACAAATCATTTCCTCGTAATTTCCAATTAGTTTATTAATCATATAATAATATAATATATTATCATTCTCTCTTTTAATATCATTTCTAGCTATTTCTGGTTATAAGGGCAACCCAAAATGGACTTTGCCTCTAATTATAAGTATATACCAATTTACTTTTGAGCTTAGACACCTTACTCCAATAGTCTCCCACTTGGGTTAGTCTATAACTACATTTTCAAGTATAACCTTGAACCAAACAGCATAGTGTGCCATCCAAAGCCACTGTCGAACTCTGATTCAAATCAAATGTTGGCCCTGAGATAAGTGATCAACTATTCCTTCGTTCTATAAGATATCGTATGAACATGAGACATTGATTAGAATCAATCTCATAGTCCAAGATTCTGTTTCTCGATTTCTCGATTTATGACGACTGAATTTAGACTACTGATTAAACAATTCAATTTAGTTCGGGCTCGGCCAAGCACTTCAGATGTCGGCACCAAATCATCGAGGGGCCAAAAGATATCAATTTTCCTATTAAGGAAAAAGGAACGAATAAACTTTGACTATATAATCATACATTTTACTCTTTCTCCTTCGTTCACCCATTCCACAGAAATCACCACAAACAATGGATTCAACATCGAAGCAAAAGTTAGTTTATTGAGCCAATTCTCTTCCAGTTGAGCAAAATTTAAAGTTGACAGTTATGATTTGACTTCAAAAGCAGAGGTAGTACTAATTGCTATACAAATTTTGTTAGTTTATTGATGATTCAAAGATGGAAAAGTCGAATTACTGTTGAAATTTGGAATGACAGCTTTTTCCGTTTCTAATTCGTGAATTATGATGTAATCTGCAGAGGTTCAATTGATGAAAGATCGGTTTTCTAAACTGTTGCTCGGGGAAGATATGTCTAAAAGAGGAAACAGAGTTTGTACTACTCTTGCTATCTCCAATGCCAGTACACATCTCTATGGTTTGTTAATTTTTAAGCTAGCGGCGCAGCTTGTTGCCTGTTTGTCTTCCATCGATATGTATTGAACTGTTTTTGAATCCGATATCTATACAATTTAAAAACTTATCTGTTTGATAATGGTGATGACTGATGATGTTTTTCTTCATTTCAACTATTGTATTTGGAGATCTATGGAAATTGGAACCCTTGACTCCACAAATGAAGTCAATGTGGAGAAAAATGTGGAGAAAAGAGATGAAATAGCTTTTATTAGTAACTGATTCCGTCGTGGAGCTTACTCCATCGTTCCAACAATTCTCAGATGGAGGCACCTTTGAGGTTATGGTGACCCGAACCAGGTCTGATTTATACATAAACCTTCCAGCACTCAAAAAACTCGATGCCATGCTTGACGGATTCCACGATTCAGAGTTCTGCTATGTTGATCGTGGGTTAGTCGTTTCCGATCATTGCAGAAACATTAAACAACGACATTCCAACACTTCACAATCCGATAGCCCTTTGATCCAGTATGAAGAGAAATAGTGGTTGCCGTTCCCAAAAGTTCTGATGAAAGGTAATCGGGTACCTCAGGTTACCACAAGCCTTCATGTGTACTTTGTTGGTGTTTTTTATACAAAATTTTCAATTTAATGGTATTTTTTACACTAAAAAAGGAATAATGGTAATTTCCGTATCTTTTTGAAAATTTGTTACCTTTTAAAGTCATTTCCCACCCAAAAAATAACAAAGTGTGTTATACAAAATGATCCATTTCCATTGATGAAAAAAAAAAAGAAAAATATCTATTGAGTTTTACAACATTTATGCAACTTTAGAAATAAACTGCAATTTACTATATCGATATAAATTTTGCTCCTGCTAAAAAATTCTCGCTTTGCGTTTCTGTCGACCAACGCCGTTGGCCGCGTCTCACACCGGAGAATTTCCGTCTCCGCCGCCGTTTTATCTCCGTTCCGGTCCACCGTCTTCTTCCTCCGTCTATCTTCGTCCAAATCTGTCCCTACAATCCTTGTATTTTAAGCAATAATAAGGCCAAGAAAAAAAACCCTAATATACTGTAAATGGACCTCCGATACGTGAGGCCGCCGCCTCCGCCTCCTCCTTCTTCGGATCCACACCAACGACCGCCACAACAACCAGTTCCACCACCTCCAGGGACTTGGTATTCCGGTCAATTTCAGTACCACTCGCCGTCACCTCCTCCGCCACAGTGGGCTCCCCAACCTCAACACCCCGATCACCACCTTCCTCCCCCTCCTTATGCGGTAGCTCCCCCTCCACCGATGCCGTATTCTTCAAACCCTTACCCCCTTCCTCCTAGACCTCATATGCCACTACCGCCACCACAACCTCATTATCCTCCTGTCAATCAGGTAACCCTAAATACTACTATACGTATCGTTCATGAATGTTAATATTTACATTATCGAGGTGTTCGCGGATCGTGCTGTGATTTTCTCTACACTTTGTATGTTTCAAGTTTCGAGCATTGTTGTTTACTGATTGTTTATGATAGGAGTGGAGTAATACAAACTGGGGTCATCAAGGATGGGACCATTCAGGTTCGAATTTCTGTTTGTTGTTCACATCTGAGTCTACTGATCAGAGTATCAAAAAACGTGCTGATTCTGTTGTTAACATTTTCCTATAGCAGCACATAACAAAAATGAAGATGATTGGGCTGCCAGGGCTAGAGCATGGGCAGCTTCAAAAGCTGTAACAGATGATCAGCATCAGCATCAGCATCCACAGTCAAACCCTGCCAGTCGACAAGAAGAAACAAGCTACCAGGATCAATATACCCAGAACTTGGATCCTCCATACACAGAGTTTCAACAACATTCACTTCCTCCATCAAACTATCAACAATATCCATCTTCTTTTCCACCTCCACCTAGAACACCTGCAAACCATTTGCAGGAGCCATCGTCATTCACATCTGGATATGCCTCGGATGGAAACTTTTCATATACTGCCAGAGATGGAAACTTGCGGGACCCAGCTGCTGCATTTCCTCATCAAGAACCTGCACCTACAAGTTTATCAGCTCACCAGCAGGAGGTACCTTCTAGTTATTCTTCTGTTGCAGGTAATGAGTTAACTGATGTATTCGATTTAGCAATTGGAGCTTGTTCACAGAATTGCTTCCAATAGTTTTCTCCCCTTCCCCAGAAGTACATTGTCACTATAAGCTTCTTAGTTCATCAGCTTCTTACTTCTATTACGTTTATCTCCTCTTTTATGTTCTAACTGCTGAAGTGATTTCTGTGGACATCATTTTCTACTCTCACCTCAACTTGTAAATATGATTGCTTGAAATTATTTTATGGTTTATATGACCAACATAACTTGTAAGTAGTTGTTGATAATCTTACACACAGCTGACTTAAGACTGAAGAATGATATGTAATTTAGTCGAGTGACTGACTTGAGACCTGTAGTGCTCTTTCGTATGGAAGAGACAGCTTTAGCTGCAATGAAGATTGGTTTAACTACCAAGTATTACAGTTACCTTGTTATGTTTCGAATGAAGAAGATGATCGTTGAAGATTGTTTAGGATTTTTAAATGATGTGTTTTGCAGGATCATCAGTTGCTGGAAGAAACTAAAGGAAGAAGAGAAGTCAAAGTTGTGATTTTTTTTTTCTTTTTACATTATCATATGGAACTAAACTTACTCGAATAACTGAAAAATCTTGTTTTTAAACTGTATGTTGCTAAAAGAAAAGAAATATTTGGTAAAGATACATAATTTGGAAGAAATAAACAATCAAATAAGTAGAGAAAGTCCGTATTCTATATTTTTCTTTTTCTTTTAGAAAATATCTTATAAGCTCTGTACTCTATCAATGGCTATATGAAACTTTAACAACAGTCAACATTTCAGTGGATTGACTTCCTCATTTGAATGTCAGGAAAAGAAGATTCAAGAGAAACAAAGGGGAAATTTTATCAACCATCACATCTACCTTTTGCTTCAGCTCCACAACACCAAATCCCACCACCAATATCTCCTAGAGATAGATTAATTTCCATTGAACAACCTCATTATTCATTTAGCAACCCATCTATTGACCCAACAACCGATCTTAGCAATCAACCTTTAGATTTTGGGCCAAGATTCAGTCATGATCATGACCCAACAGGGGCAATATCCTCTGGTATGCACCTCACACCTTCATTTGGAAGATCAAGCTTCCAACCAACCATGGCATCTGGAAATGCAACTTTTCCCATTGGGGCATCAAATGCATTTCATGTAACAAGTGGCTTCCCTATTGATACATACGGGACCCCTGGATTTCCTGAAAGAAATAAAAAGGTATAATATAGAATATCATTTCTGCTGTTGTGTTGTTTTCTACTATGTATCTGAGATTGGAAGAGTATTTAGGTTTCAGTGCCAAATTGGCTTAGAGAGGAAATAATTAAGAAGAAAGCAGTAATTGGAACAGAGATTTCCAGGCAGGATACCGAGTCTAATGAAGATGAAGTTATGGAGGGATCTCTTGGGAAAGGAGATCAGGTGGATGGAAAAAGCATGTCTACAGAAGAAGAGGATGATGATGAGGTTCTATTATAATTTTGATTCATTGAATTTAGGCAGTGTTTGGTATGATCATGATGGAATCAGAGAAGAAATGGAATGGTTCATTCCATGACATTGCTTATTCCATTCCATCCAACCAAACTGACATTGCAAGAGTGGTGTTACTTTTCTGGTTTACTTTATTTATCCTCAAAACTGACATCTGCCTTCATTTTTCTATGTAGGATTATGTGGAAGCAGCTAGAACAGCTGCAATAAACCAGGAAATAAAGCGAATCTTGACTGAAGTCCTTTTAAAGGTGCCCCAAATACATACTAATCATTCATCTATGATCTATGATCTTGCTTGTTTTTTGTACTAAGTTAGTTGCCTACAATGCTTTTGAACAGGTCACAGATGAACTCTTTGATGAAATTGCAACCAAAGTTCTTGAGGAAGATGAACTTTCTGTGGAAGGTCTTTTTTATTTTTTCTTATTTTCATTAGCTGTGATCTTCTTTATTACCTCATTGTAACATAATCTAGGTTTGTGGTTATGTAGTTGAGCATAAACCGATTGCTTCAAGTGATATGATTCCAGCAATTCCAACTCCCAAGTCTTCTTCTGCAAAGGTTCTACTAATTCCAGCTAAGACCAAAGGAACCGATGCCGATGATAGTCGGAATTCCAATTCCAGTTCACCTGGAGATGTTTTAGGACTCGGTAATTATGCTTCTGATGATGATGATGATGATGATGAAGAGAAAGAAGTCCAGAATCCATCTTCTTCCATAAATAGCAAGCCAACTGAGAATGGCAGTTCACATGTAGATGGTAGCAAGTTTCTTGAAAAGGAAAGTGATTCCCATGGAGTGAGCCCAAATGGTAAAAGTTCTTCTCAGACAGATGCAGATGCAGACCATGTCACTCAAGAACATCGGAATCATGATTCCGGTGATGAGAAAGTATCAGATGGCAAACACGAACCGTTAATTGATGGTATTAGTCACAAGAATTTATTACCAAATGATTCTCAAGGTAAGAGCCACAGACATCACCTCTAGACAGAAGGGTAAAATAGTCATTTACATTTACACTCATTCAGTCGAAAAAAGAGACGTTTTTTGTTCATACACACATCATTTATCCATTTAACACTTGGAAAAAAAGAAACAAGCCCTTAGTGATCGAACCATTTTGGTGTTTAGTCTTTTTTTTGTTTCTAGATAGAAGGTTAAAATAGTCATTTACTCTCATTTGGTGTCCAAAAAAAAAACAATCTTTGTTCTTACACACATCATTTAATGGAAACACGCCCTTAGTGATTAAAACAAAAATGTTTTTGACAATTTAGAAAAACCGTTTTTCCAGGTGAGCAGGTTTTGATAACAGGGAAAAATACGGATAAAAGAAAGTTGGATAGTAAAGACTACAATGGTGAGGTGGATGCAAATGCAAAGGCAAAGGTAGATGAGAATAGTAGGAATCAGGATGAAAAAGAAAAAAACACAAAGAAGGGAAATAAAGATGATAGAAATGGTAATAAAGATAAAATAAAGGATCAAAGGTTTAGCAAGAGTGAGAATAAAAAAGAAACAGAAAGATCTCATGGGAAAGAAGATGGTAGAAAGCGAGAAAGAACAAAAGATGAAAAGAATGAAAGATCAAGTAAAAATAGGCACAAAAGACATCATTCTCCTTCAAGTGACACTTCTTCAGATGACTCAAGAAGGTATTTATTTCATTTTTGGAGCTTAAATTTATTTATACTTCACTTCAATAAAACATTAAGTCAAAACATCCACAATTGTTAACCCCTTGAAATAAACATCTTCTTCAATGCAAGGCTTTTTCTTATTAGTCATCATCTATTTGAAATGTTTTTTAATTATATAAACCCCTCCTCTAATCACAAATTATATTTGATATTTGGTGTTAGTTTGATCAACAAGTTTGCAGAGTTATAAAGAAACAAATATAAAAATATTCTTTGGTCGTTTTGTTTGTTTTCTTTTTCTTTAAATTTTGATATTGGTGTCATTTTTTATCATCTTGACGAATGCTCTCTAATGATATAAAAAAATATATATATTCTGTTTGACATTGCATATTTAATAAAATATATTAATTAGTCAAAAAATGAAAATTTTATTGAGAATACAAAACTACAAATGAGTTTGTTTGAATGAATTTGGTACATTGCAGAAAGGTGCATTCTAGAAGGCACAATTCATCACCATCTCCTGTGAGATCAAGAAGGTACTTATTATTTAATTAATCTTAACATTATAAATTTATAATATTCTAACTCAAATTGAATATAACTTTTTTTTTTTGGTCCTAAGTTTCTTATGCTTGCATATCATTTATTAGGAACAATAGTATTACCTTTTGTATATGAGGGATTTGAACACTTATTTTTGGAGGGTATAATAGTAATTAGGTGACAAAATATGCAAAAGTGTTGATAGGTTTTTGCATATTTACATTTTGTGAAAAGGGTATAAACGGAAATTAACATGTACCTCCCAAATCCCAATGTCTTTTTATATATATATATATATATATATATATATATATATATATGACTCTCATTCATTGGCTTAGCATGAGATGTTTGATTTCTAGACAAGTGTCAAGGTCTCCACCTAGCAAGCGTTCTCAGCACAAGCATAATAACTATTCTTCTCTTGAAACCACCAGGTATGTCAATTGTCAAAGTCAAACATACATTTTGACTCTAATGGTCAAACATCTTGACTTTTAACCTCAAACATTTTGACTTTACAGTCCTATTGGTTTATGAACTGGTTTATATTTTTATGCAGGGAAAGGAAGCGCTCAAGATCCAGGTCACGAAGGGGATAAGTGTAAAAAGGGATTATGAACATATGTTGTAATACGCAATTATTTTTTTTGATGTCCTAATCATGAAGCTAGGTTTTATAAAGCCCTTATTTCTTGTACTTGATCTTGGAACAAGTTTGTGAATTGTGGTTTCACCTGGATTTTGCATATTGGGAAGTGTATTAGTGTAGTTGTAATCCTTCATTGAATTTGTTAGCTTATGTGATGGGGGTTGAATATAATGTTTCAAACTTCAAAGTAGTTTCTTATTAGTAAACTCTTTAAAATGAATGTTTAACTTTTGTTGTGAAATAAACACTTAGCAACATGGTTGATAAGGTTTAAACAAATTGTCATAATGTGTATAAATGAAGCTTTGAATACAATTTGCAATTTGAGAATATAGAACTTTGAATACATCTTACAATTTGAGAATATTCGAGTTCAAGATCTTTGTTGAATTGTTCAAGGTTCTCATTGTTGAATTCTTCAATGCATTAACTAAATGCACTACTTGTAACATTTTGTTTTAGTGTTTATGGCAAATTGTGTTAATTTAAACTTTTAAAGATCATTGTAGGAATATATCTAAAGTGTTCAACAACAAAACCCAAAATCCAATAAAAATGAGATAATGGTAAGGTTAGATGAGATTGCATCGACAAATGGCCTTACTATATGGAAACATGAGTATGCAATTATATTGGTAATAAAGTAAAAGGCAGGGGAGCAAGCAGATAGTCAAATACATGCAAATACAAACATGCGACATAAAGTAAATACGAACAAGCATAATGAAGGAAATATCGAAAAACATAGTGGAAAAAGTAAGCATATAGACATTATACATAAGGCATAATCATACCCTTAGAGCAACATCGACCTACACAACTTTATTCAATGCTTTGCTTTTAACCTTACGTTATATTTATACTTCCTTGTGAGTCCTATCATGCTTATATCATCGATCAAGACCATCTCCACTATTTTAACCGTAATAGCCAATTGTTTTCTTTAGACATGATAATACCATTATAATATTCTCTCCTAAAATTTTCAATGATCAAACGCTACTGCCATTGCTATTTTTTTTTTTTTTTTTAAATTTTGTCCAATGATGCTCTATTGCCATCATCTTCATTTCCACAACTTCCATCTTTATCTCATGCTCCTTAATTGGTTAATATTCAGATTCATACAATATAACTTGCTTAATCATCACCTTATTAAATTCTCCCATAAGTTTCACTAAGACCTACTTGTTGCATAAAATTCTTTTAGTTGCCCTCCATTTAAACTAGACTTGACAATTTGTATATTCGTGTCGTTTTCACGTGTTAGACACATATTTGGTACGACACGAATACACATACATAAATAAGCTTTATCTCCCTTTTCAAGATGTATTCATGTCATGTATTCGTGGCCTGTTGTGTCACTCATGAATTTGTATATTCGTGTCTTGAATTGTCAAGTATAATTTAAACATAGTGGGTGATGTTTCCTTATAGATCATAAATCTCAAGTACTTAAAATTCTACTGTGAGTATAGAACATTCTCCCGATACATACTTAAACATATTCATCAATGTGCTCTCAACATAAATTGCACCGAAGATATTCCATATTAAGTGTGTTGATCTATACTCCTTATCTTTCAAGGTGGTTCTCCAAATGTCCATCCTAGCATTCAACTCAGCCTTAGAAACTAAAATGACTATTTGAAATGTCAAAGTAGAGTATAATGGTTATAATTTGAAATGTTCATTGTTTTATCTATATTTTGCTTATGGTATGTTTTGTGACATTTTTAAAAGTACGGGGTTCAACTTTATTTCCCATAAACTTTAGGGGTAGAGCTAGAAATTTTATACAGAAAATGGTCAAAGAAGGTTTGACCTGGCGACTGCGTGTTAGTGGGTGGGGTGACGCCCACTCAACGTCAAGTCTCACATGTCTCTTGCTCGGTTGCTCCTCCACCAACGCCTTTTCCGGCGGCTCTGGTGGTGGATTTCCCACCAAAGAAGCTTCACTTTTACGTTAAAGTTTCTCTTTTTCTCCTTTTCACACTTAATTCCTTCTTTTCCGTGAAAAATGAAGGTCTATTCTACTCTTTTATACAACAAAAAGTTTGATTAAGAAAAACCCAAATTCAATTCTTTTTATTGTTTATCTAATAGTTTCTTTCTTCAATTCTTGGTATTCGATCAAAGCCATTTCAAATCTTAGATGGTTTGTTGGTTTTTTTTAATTATTTTAACATACCAAGTTTTTCGATTCTCTTATTAATTATTATAATTCTTGGTCTTGATTTAATAATGTTACTTCCCTATCAGACCCATCTCAAGTCCTCAGATAAATTGATTGTTTTTTCAGTTTCTTTTTTTTCTGGAAAAAGGGGGGAAACCCCTTGGCAAATAGTATTAATGAGAAAAAGAAATACAAAAGGAGGGCAAACGGCCAAGAAAATAAAGAAAAACCAAGCTAAGGGACATGCCCCGCAAGGACAAAGCAAACAAGGAACTAACTACCTAAAGACCTAAAATCGTCATCCCTGATCAATCGAGAAGAGATACGACCACCATGAGAAGAGCTCCGCTGTGCGTCAGAAGCTGGGAGGGGATCTCTGGAATGAATCAAAGTAGGGATACGAGAGACGTCATCGGTATCATCCACTCTTTGATGAGAAAGAGTGTCAAACATGTTAGTTGTAACTTTTTTCTTTGGCTCCACGCGGATCACTGGTTTGTAGACTTGGGATATCTTTATAGCGGGCCCTTTTCCTTTACGGTTGTCGATGGGAGGCTTCTTTTTTGGTAGGAAATGTTCTAGATCTCCTTTTGACCATTTGGTATCCTTCATTATCAACTTCTTTTGGAATGGGCATAGTCAGCTAGGACGGGGGTACTAGTCTTGTGAACGGGGCATGTGGTATGATGTCTTACCCTAAATCCGGAACGGCGGAAACGTTCTGGGGCGGAGGACGTCATGTACAGTATCATAACAAAGCATAATAGTAAACAAGCAACAACATCCATTGCATTTATAGAATAATTAAATACATGTGTGTTATTTTGTAAGGTTTAAATGACACCAAAAATGTATAAACAAAATAAAGACGAGTCTTGGATCCACTCCGTCCTTCAAA